TCTATCTATCTTCCTTCCTTCCTTCCTTCCTTCCTTCCTTCCTTCCTTCCTTCCTTCCTTCCTTCCTTCCTTCCTTCCTTCCTTCCCCTCCCTAACAGTCAAAAATGGTTGGCGTGATCCCTTTAGAAAACCTGCAAAAAATGATGTCTTTAGCCACATGACCGGATGGTTTCTTGACCATGGAGATGGAGGCACGAGGTCAGTCGTATCCAGTGCCCAGGCGGATGGAAGCCCGCCCTCTGGTCATGTGCGGACATGGCAAGGAAGGTGGGCCCTGGAGCACTCTGGCCTCCAAAAACCAGTCTGGGTTTTGCAACCCGTCATTACGTGGTACTGGGTACAAATTGCTGGTGCCTCCAGGCAGCGTGGGGGATGTTTTTTTCCGGAGATCCACTGCTGCCAGTCGGGGTCTAGTCTAAGCAGTTTCCTGTGTTTCTCCAAAGAGGAGCATGTGTCTTCTTCCCTACAATTAACAGGGGGATAGCAGGCCTCTGGGGTTGATTCCAAGAACCCAGCCTGCTGACATTTGCCAGAGCAAGAGGGGATTGCTGCCGAACCCCATTCTGTCCCGCTGAAGGCCCTCTATTCCAGCGGGCCAATTTCTGCTACCACGAGATCCTGTTTCAAAAGGGGATATGAAGAACCCAAGAAGGGGACATCCACTTCTCGAGCTGGCCTGCTGTTGGCCTGGAGTGCTGGCAACTCTCCAGGGGCCTTCAGTCTTTCCCGAGTCTCTTCCCTGTGATTCCTGGGGCTTGAATGTGGGTCCTTACACAAGCGTGTGGCCTGACACCAAGCAATGCTCTCGACCCAAGATGGGCGTGTGTGCGCCTTTCTACCAACTTCTTCCAACCCAGATGTGCAGGACCAGCGCCTTTCAGCCCCAGCCACACTGGCGGAAGATCACGGCAGCCAAATCTGGAACAGCCCAGATTTGACGAAGTCTGGCTGGAACGAGGATTTTTTAAAGCCCACCGCCAGTGGGTCTCCTCTGCCCAAAGTTACGAGGACAGCAACAGTGGCACCCAGCAATCTGCATGCTATGGCTGCGCTGCAAATCTTTGGGATTAGCTTCCTGCCTAAAGAAAGGAAATAAAAGTGAAATCGCTCTTCTGCTCCCACCTCCTAACACCCGCCACCTGCTTTCTCTCTCTCTCCATGTCTGTAATTCAAGGGCAAATTGTTTCTCTCTTCTGCACACAAGAAGCCGGCTCTTGAGCATAAATCTTGAACAGCTGCTGCCTGGGTGGCGCATTGATTTAAGAGCCTTGGCCTTTGGCTCTTGCTTCCAACCTTGTTTAAAACCTAAAGTGGGATGGGTATGGGGTTGGGGCAATTTTGTCCCCAGAGGACAATTCATTCAGGTATATATCAGAAAGGCCACGAACGAACCGTCCTCTCTACTCACACCTGCTCTTTGCTCAAGGAAGGGATGCTGCTCTTGAGCAGCGGAGGCTGCAGAAACGTCAAGCGCTAGCAGAGGAAGCGGAAACGCCTCTGAATTGGGCCCTGGCTAATTGCGTTTATTGTTAGAAACACTACAGGAAAAACCATTGCAGATTGGTGGGTCTTGATTAATTATAATATGGGTGCTTTTGTTGTTGTTGCCTTTCTTTTATGAACTTTATCTGAAAATGAAATAAAATTGCACGGAGAAAATATTAATATGGACTGATATGGTACCTTGCCTTTTCTCCATGGAACACACATGAACAAATCTTTACCCTTTTTATCCTTACAAGCAGCTCTTAATTTGAATATTGCTATCAACTACGTAAAAAACAGGTGCACCCCCTGCCCCATCTCCAATGTGTGAGCAGCTCCCAGCATTTTCCTAGCAGAAAACCATAAAAGAAGAAAGTTCATATTCCCATCTGCACAAAATGTGTCCAGAGCACATTTGAATAAACTCTGCTCAAAACCACCCTGTGGGAGATGAGATAGAACGACTGGACAAGGCCAGGCAGAGATTTGATGTCTGGTCTTCCTGGCTCCAGCAAAAATAAAAATGGCATTCGTAAGTCCTCCCCCACATAATGCTCTTCCGAAGCATTCATAATACTTTACACTATTTGACTCTTACCAGCAGCCTCATATTTAACAACCTGCTATTCAACAACCGTGTAAATAAGCCACTGAATGGCTTATGTAATAGTATGTTTTACCTATGGTAGGAATAAGCAAACTTGTGGCATCTACTTGTGTTTTTTACCGGAAGCCTGAGATCCAGCAACTGGACGGGTGCCAGAAATTCTTGACGATCTACTGCACGTCACACAGACACCAGCTTTCTGCTCACATGTTCATGGCAGATCTAAGATCAGTGTTACACATACCAAGAAAGCTCAGGCCGCTAGCTTTCGTGCAAAATACATTTGCACATTACGGAAACGCCATCCCGCCTCTGCATTTATTTGTTGATGGATTTGTTTTAAAGCCCCCTCCAAATTATTATGAACACCACAGAAGGCCAGAATCCATGGGTTTGAGTCCCAAAGAGTACTGAATTCTCTGCGGATTGGCCCCTTGGAGGTGGGCCGGGGGGCCACCTGCCATGAGTACAAGGAGGTCCGCTGCGCCATGTTTCTTCAGCTCCCATCATGGCCTTTTCGAAAGGCTGATGTGAGATTACAGGCCCCAGGGTGCACTGGCTGAGGGAACCGCAGGCCACTCTGGACACACATCCAACCCTCTGAGCACAAGGCCCAAGCCCTCCAAGCAACATTTCTGGACATAACTGCTGGCTGCCCGATGCCCCTCACACTAGACCCATGGCAGTCAACGTGCTGCTGGTTCAGAGTGCATCGTGATATTCACCTTTAAAGCTCTGAATAGTTGAGGGCCAGGTCACCTGAAACACCCATTCTGCCCACGCATACCTGCCCAGACTATTTTCAGAAGTCCTTCTCTGGAAGCCCCCACCAAAGGAAGTGAGGTGGGTGGCTACCAGGAAGAAAGTCTTTGCTGCTGTGGCACCCCTGTGGAGTGAGCTCCCAAGAGAGGCTCTCCCGGCACCTGAATTGTGCTCCCTTCAGCACTAGGGGAGGACGGTCCCTGCCTTTCAAGATTCCTCTGGATATGAACAATGCGTACATGAAATAAGCCAACACAACCGGCCTATGAGCCTGGCCCAAGCGCCTGAACAGAGGAATGAAAAGAGCTGTCTCGGGGGAACTCGTTTCAAAGCAGAGGAGCAACTTTCTATACACGCCACAGATATTATGACTTTTTAAGTGGAATCAGGAGGAAAACTCACAAGCATGGCTTTAAAGAGGGCGGTGTGCTCAGGCAGAAAGAGATGATCCCTAAGGGAAATGCTACAACTACTGATTTATTTGGAGCATGTTGTCACTGGAACCCCCGTTATGGACCTGGCCAAGGGTCCATCTAATCCAGGATTCTGTTTCCACGGTGAATGTGAGAGCAGCAGCACCTTCCCATCCACGTCTCCATGTTCTCCAGCAAACTGACAGAGCAAAACATTCTCCCCCTAGTACCTGAGATAACATATGGCCAGCTTGATGGCTTCATCCTCCAAGCATTTGCCCATTCCACCTTCAAAACAGTTCCAATATACACTGTGCAGAAAAAGTCCTTCTTTTCTCTCTCCTGACTCTCCCACCAGAATGTGCTCAGAACTGAGTCAGCAGTTGGACCAGGTAATCTCCAGGATCGCTTCCAACCCTACAATTCCTTTTATCACTTATGCCACTGTTCCCACACATGTTCAGGGCAGCTTATGACAACAAAAGAACGCATGATTGTTTTTTAATCACACACACACACCCCGTAAGTCTGAAAAGCAGTCTTTCTAGGGAGCAAGCCACCAACATCTGATGAAAAAGGAAGGTTTTCCAGTCCTTCTGGAAGGAAATATTCTTGAGTTCCAGAAGGAGGTCATTCCACAGCCTCAGGGTCAGAGCTGTGAAGGCCCTGCTTCCAGTGGCAGACGTGGAAATGGTAAGTGATGCGGCAGCTGATTTGACAAGCACAGGTGCCAGGGAGAGAGGTCAGAGTGATATAGAAAGAGACAGTCTTTAAAAGCCATGTCCTATTACCGCTAATATCTATGATACATCTAATGACCTGTCGACTCCACACACACAAAGTTAGGCAGGAGAAAACCACCACCCTGCGCAGGTAAACAGTGCGCAACTATCCAAGCCACCTTGTTGAAAATCTAAGTGAGGAATAAACCTTTGCTACTGCTACCAGCAGACCAACCTCCAAAAGCTAATCTGAAGTGATTCCATTTTCGTTTTTGAAAATGTTAAGCACATTCTGCCACACCTCCCTGGGAAGTTTGCTGCAAAGCCTACCAGCTCCTTGCAGAAAGATTTCCATTTTTACTTCTCTTCAACCAAACAACATGGAAAAACGTCCTTCTGTTTGGCCTGAATGTGTGGAGTGCCACTTACCAGCACGAGCCTGCTCGGTAGCTGCCTCAAAGCAAGGAACCGATCTTGCGCATATATCCAAACAGAGACGTTCGTTATCCACACTGGTACCCACCCCATTTCTCCCAGCTGGCCTTCACCAGTCAGGCTGGGCATCAGCAAAACTTCATCAGCATCAGCTTCACTGACCAATAAACTCGAACTTTATTCTTTTCCAACTTGAAGCCTTCCAAATTTGTTAGACCACAAGGTTCATCATCCTCCGTGTCCAAGTGACACAGTATTTTTTACATGTCTTTCCCAACTATCCAAATCTCTCGAGCGACAGCTCCCACTATCTTCCAACCCACTGTGGTTGGAGCTTATGAGAATCGCAGTCCAGCCAGATCTGGAAGGTACATGATTGGGAAGACTGGGTTTTATGGGAAGTGTGGCCCATCCCATCTCTAGCAGACATGCTGTTCCAGACGAAACGAAAGAACAAAGCCAATCAGCTCAAGAAACTGAGCACACACATGCATCAAAAAATGCACCATGAAAAATCAACTGAAAAAATGAACTGATAAATACAGATTTCGTCCCAAAAGGTAAAATAAAACTTACTTTGTTGAGGGCTCCTGCTCCAGTCAAGATGATATGTGAATTTTCCACTTGGATTGTCCTCTGTCCCAACCGGACGATGTAAGCCCCAATTCCAATTGCCCGACATGTTACCTGAAAAGAGAAATTTGAACCTATTTCAATTTCCATAGTGCCATCACCCAGCAAGTCAACCCCTATTTTATGCCCAGTAAGATCAATTCCAGCTTGCATGAATGCATACTTTTAAAAAATCCATGCTTTTAACCAGTGCTTTTTTTGTAAGAAAAAAGGTGCCGGAACTCATGAAATTATTTACCTTTCGCACGTAGTCAATCACTGCACACACACCCACACACGTCAGTTGTGTAACGAATATAAGGGTCGCCGGCCGCAGTAAACACTCAGCGCGCGACCACACGACCAATCACAAGCCGAGCAGTGCCACAAGCCGAGCAGCGCCATCACAACCAGTGCGAAGTGCGCATGCATCGGATTCGACACACAAGCAGCCCGCATGCGCCGTTTTAATGATTTGCCGCTACGCTTGACAGGGCGATTCAAATCCACATGGACCAAACATCAAATTTTCAAAAGTTACTTTTAAAACTTGGGAAATCTGTTGAAAAAAGGTGCCGGAACTCCATTCCGGTGCGTTCTATGACAAAAAAAGCACTGCTTTGAACACCTATTTACTATTTTTTAAAATGTGCATGTGCTTTTGTGAAAAGGAAAACAACTTATTCTTAACATGCATCGCTTTTAATGTACATGGATTTTAAAATAAAAGGGTTTTTTTCAAAATAACTTAATATACATGTGTTTATTATGTGCTTTTAATATACTTTAAACTTTTTAATATGGGATCATACGGGATGTGAAAGGAGACTTTATCCCTTTCTCTATCCATGGCAGCCAGCCAGCATGTGGGGCCACAGTTATACAGGAAGTGCCAATTATGGCTTCTCACCAAGGATCTATTTATTTATTTAAAACATTTCTATGCCGCCCCCCTCGCAACAAAGTCTCGGGGTGGCTCACTCTCTCTCTCTCTCTCTCTCTATATATATATATATATAACATTTAAAACCCCCCAGTGCATTCTCGGCTAATTTAAAATCCTAATAAATACAATAATTTAGCAATTAAAATAAGTTTTAAATAAAAAGGTCTTAGCCTGGCACCGAAAAACAAATAATGACGGCACCAGGCGGACCTCTCTGGGGAGCGCATTCCATAGATGGGCGCCACTGCAGAGAAAGCCCTCCTCCGGGTACTAGAATTCTAGAATCTAGAATTCTAGAGCCAAGGATCAAATAGAGTCTGGAAAATCTCCCCAGATTGATCACTATCTGCACACCTGGCTTATCTTTCTAGCCCTGCTTCCCCCAGATAAAACACAACTGTAGCTTACCAGGTTGATTGTGATAATTTCTTCATATGCCAGTGATGATTCTCCTGCAATCATGCCAGATCCTCGCAGATTCTCCGTCCCAATGCCTTCCTCCTTCCCAATAACATCTGTAATTTTATATCTGGCACAGGGAGCAAAGAGACAGAGAGATCACACATTTACAGTTGCCCAGCTTGTCATCACAGAATATCGAATGCACCAGTGCTAAAGTTTCTCAGCTTCCTGCAGCAATGAATTCATCTTTAATGGAAAAGAGAAGAGTGTGGAGGAACAGTCAAATCTCCACTGGAGTGAAGTTCCATTGCCAGAGTGCCACCACCAAACAGGCCCTGTCACATGCAGTAGGGTCACAGGCCATACGTCAACGGCATCACAAGGACTCTCTCTTCTTAAATTGGTAGCCCAGTGGAGCCCAGTGGGAGTTCCTTCCCCTTTCTCAGATTCAGCTTCCTGAGTGCAAAACTGGGAATAAATGGTGGGCAACCTTCCAAATTTATTATGAAGTTTAAACTAGGACACAGAGCTGAATCCAGTGTTTTATATACATTTACCGAGATTCTCCTCCATCTTCGACATGTTCACAATGTACTGAGTTTAAGGCACTGACTTTCTTATAATCCTGGGGAGTCAGGTAAAGATACTTAAATCCCTGGAGAAGGGGAAAAAAAGAGGTGAGCAGAAAACTCTCAGAGAAATTCACTTGTTCTCATTTTAAATCGTAAAAAACGTATTTCCCAAAAGGCAAACTAAAAAGTATCTTATCCAATAACTTGAGTACAAGGTAGAGGTAAAGACTGAGCATTATAACACACAACCAAACCGTTGAACACAAATAGAAATGTTGGAGACTCAAAATAATTTGTTTTGCTGCATGCTAGCCTCCCAGTTAAAATTTTGGGTTACTAATGGGAAAAAAAACCTTTTAAAAACAAAATAAAAACCAGGAAAGACAGAATACTTGGAAGATATCACGAAAGGAGCCTGAAGGCAAATTTGTACTCTCTGGTACCATGTTTGAGATCCCAAATTTAAAACCTCTTCTCCCTGAAATACGAATGGGTGAATGAGCAACATTTGAGCTTGTACAATTCACCTAAGATCAACTTGCTGCTTTATCTCCAACCCAATTAAAGTTCATATTTGTATGTTTCTAATCACAGTAAAATCATGCAAAACTGAGTATGAAAATTGTGAAATGATCTTCAAATTTGCGCAACTTGTGCCCCCAGACTAAAATAGGGTTTACTTAGAAGTCTATGCAAATTGAATGGGGAAAGTTGTGCAAACCAAATGGGTGCATATTCGGGAAGGTGTAAACATTTTCCCCTCGCATTTGTGCCTGGAGTTGCGACGGAGCCAGGCGGCATGTTTTGCAGGCAAAATTTAAATTCTCGCACATTGCAAATTCTAACCCTAACCCTACGCCCAAGTGGAAGCTCGTAGAAACACCACAAGACTGATTTCCATACAAGCATAAGCCGTCGTTATTTGTTTTTCGGCGCCAGGCTAAGACCTTTTTATTTTTAACATTTTAACATTTTAACATTTTTAACATTTTAAATGCTAAATACAATTGAATTTTATCTGGCCAGGGCAGCTTATTTTATAATGTGTGTTTTTAATTAAGATTATTTTATATGGATTTTAACTTATTGTTTTATCTATGTTGTAAGCCGCCCCGAGGCTTCGGCGAATGGGGCGGCATAAAAATGTTTTAATAAAATAAATAAAATAAAATCTACAGCACCTCCCGGTGCCCTTACCTTGTAGGGATCAGCAGGGTCTTCCCAGGCCACGTGAAACATGTGGCGGATCTCCTCAGCCAACCCGATCCTGGCCCCACTGTTGGCAGCCACGTAGATCCGGGGGATGCCCTGCAGCCGAGCAAGCTCTGACGCCCGAAGGTAGAGGAGGTCTTCCTGGGGGCCGAAGGACCCGATCCGGTACGTGATATCATTGCTAATGACTATGATATCCCGCCCATCTGGATACTCCGGTGACTTGAGGGTCATCAGCCAAGCCACCATGCCGATCTGCAAGCAGCAAAGACACGCGATGACTCCTCGGACCAGGTCATGCCTGCTTTCCCCCAAGGAGCACAGAGCAGCCTATGAGGGTCTTTGCCCGCTGAAGCTTGTACAACACCTCCATGAGGTAGACCAGGGTGCAGAGAAACAGTGGCTGGCCCTAGGTCACCTGGCGATCTTCAAGACCCATGCGGACGTGAACCTAGTGGGGCGCTAGGGTGAGGGCCGTCTGCTCTAACCACTAGGCCACCCTGGCTTTTCTCCTGCAACTGCTCCTTAACACAGCCATCTAAGGGCTACCTGTCTCACGATGAGCCTACCCAGGTATCAAGATCTGCAGGAGGTGCCCTGTGTGTTGCTGGCTGGGCACACATGAAAGGATTTCTGTTCGTGCTGGCCCACACTATGAGAGGCACTCCCAATTTCTTAACTTCCCCCCACCCCAATCTCTTAGCCTTTCACAAGGGTGCAGAGGTGCATCTGCCCAATTTAGCCTTTTACAATGTGTGGTGGGGATGTTTTTAGTGCTCTTGTTTTAAGATCTTTACAGTGTTATCATTTTACATTGCTGCACAGTGCAACACCTCGATGCTTTTGGCAGACAAGGCGGTATAACAAATCTTAATAACAATCCTAAACATGCTTAGAATTGCAGATTATGCAGTTGTGGGTTGAAGCAGGCACGACAGCAAACAGGACAGCTGCCAAAAAACCCCTAAGATTAATTGATGATTAATTTCATTTCTATAGCTCTCCAGGCAGTTCACAATTTATAAAAAGAAAAAACCCTCAACACAATAAAAACAAGATACCATTTCAATGCATAAACATTGAAACAATCCAAAAAAAGTGAATTCTTAAAACATTTTTTTAAAAGATATATAAAGCTCCGTTAAAGTTCAGACTGAAACCCAGAGTGGATACGGCAATGGAATCCTGTCCTGACCTGAATGGCCTTTGCCTTCCTCAAACCGACACCTTCCAGATGTGTGGGGAGGCAGTTGGTGGCACCGGCTGGGAATGATAGGAGTTGCCATCTCACACTGCTCAAGGGCACCAGGTTGGAAAGGGGGATGCAGATGCTACCCAGATGAAAGGAGGAGAGGAAACAGTCCTGCTGTTTTGAGCAGCAGGCTTGGATCGGCTGTAACACGTAATTCCAGCCACAGAGGTGTGAGAAAAGGCAAATTTATGTCTTCTTGAATACCTTCTTGGTCACTTCTGCCCTGCTACAGCAGCGAAAATGCAGCGAGTGGAGAGGCAAGGAAACAGGAGCAGGGAAGGGAAGGGAGAACAAGGCGGGGAGCAGGGGAGGCATTATCTCCCGAGGATGGGGCAGCGTCTAATTTAACTGCTTTTTTGTACTGGTGAAATTATGTGTACCACACTATTTCCATAAGAAGAGGAACCATTATTCTCCTGTGGAAACCTATTTGGCCTGAAAGGTATCACTGGCCAAGATATGGGAAGTGGAACTGGCACAGGGCGGGCGGGTGGGAATCAGGCCCAATGAATTATTCACAACCTCCGATCACAGGCAATAATTATTTCTGATGTTCCGAACTGTGATTAGGACCCTGAACTGGGATGTCATTTGCTCCCTGGGTAACAACGACAATATGGAATTGCATGCCAGAGAGAAGGAGAGAAAGAGAGAGAGAGCGAGCGCATATGCCGCCTGCGTTAATGGCCTGTGTATCATTTTGCACGCATGTACACACACACACACACACACACACACACACACACACCCAGAAGACCGCAGCTTAAATATGTGGTGGCAAGCACTGAAAACAAAATAAGGGTCACCACGATGTTCTGCACAATGAAAGCAAATGCAAGGTACCGCTCTGGACAAGGCTCAAAATGTCGTGAGCGGAGCCGGCTGGAGCCGGAGGTCAGACTAGATGGCCCGGGAGGCCCCTTCTGACTCGCTCTGTTTCTATGTTTCTAACTGCCCCGTGCACATCAGGGGCCAGGGGACGAGGCACACAAAATGCTTTAAAATGGGTATTATCATTAGAACTTGCTTTTCCTTCAGGATATTCCTCAGGCGTGGATCGGATTTACAGTGTGTGTCGTTTATTATTCTGTTCTGAACGGGTCTTCCGGACATGCTAACTGAAAGACGGTCAGCTTCCATCTTGGCCTCTCTGTCTCTCTCTGCCTGGACCCCAAGATCCTCCTCAGAGGATCGTCGTCCAGATGCCCTTGCGAAATGAAGAGAAGCAGGTGGCTGCTAACGAGGGGGCCGGCTTGGTGGTAACACTCCACGAACGACCCATCCGTGGTTTGCTGCTGGACGGCAGTACTTGTCCTTAACGAACCATGCTATATTAGCACGGGTAGGTTCGTACAACGCCACAACCCTTGATGCGGTAGCAACCCGCGAGTCAACAACAACCCACGATTCAGCAACCACCTGCAACTCCATGTAAAGCTGCAATCCAACAACAACCACTCAGAGACAACCCACACCCTGGCTGAACATGCTGGCCGCCTCCGCTGCCAAGACTGGAGACAGAAAGGGATCGTCGGCGCCAAACCTACGGAGGGAAATAAATCACCTGCTCGAGCTCCGAACAGCTTACAGCAGCCTTCCTCAAACTTCCCCACTCCGCATTTTGAACTCTGGCCCTCGTCGGTCCCACCCAGCAAGACCAAATGGCAGGAAGGAGATGAGCTGTCAGCAAAGCGCCTAGAGCAGCAATGGCAAAACTTTTAGAGACCGAGTGCCCAAACTGCAACCCAAAACCCACTTATTTATCACAGAACCTTCCTTGAGTAGGTTTCTCTGCACTGCTCATCATTTCTGCCCATTCTAAACACATTCCAACCATCAAAACCATGCCAGGACACCTTGTTTTCCTAACCCTAACCCTACCCTGGTGCACACCCCTAACCCTATTAGAGGACTCAAGTTCCATTGAAAACAGGGCAATTTTGAAAAAGCCTTCCCTGAGTAGCTTTTTCTGTGCAGCTCATCATTTCTGCCCATTCTAAACACATTCCAACCATCAAAATCATGCCAGCACACCTCGTTTTCCTAACCCTAACCCTACCCTGGTGC